GTGTACCCCACCCCCACTCCCTGCCTGAGCCAGCCCCTGGCATACAGTAAGGATGTGTTGTTATTGGATTGAAGGGCCATAAGTTAAGTTACGGCCTGAGAAATGGTCTTTGGAGTATTAAAAAATGAGCACAAGTTGAAGAGGATTGAGGAAGGCTGGGAAGCTTGTGGAGAGAAGAGGGAACAGCTCAGTAAATACAGAAATTTCATCCCACCCATGGTGGTGCCCAGAGTTAGAAGGAAGGAGAACTGACTACCAGAGCCCATCTGGGCTGATTCCATTTCAGCCCTCGTTAAAAAGGAGCTGGGGCTGCATCTGGGTGGAGTAGGATAGGGGTGCAGAGGGTGCTAGGGGAAGCAGCAATGTTTAAAGCATTTTTACCATCTGTTTCCTGGAGGGGAGGCGGCAAGGAACCTCTTAGTGCACCCTGACCCCACCATCAATAGCAGAATTGAAAGTGACGTTCTGCTCCCTGGAGCACATTCAGTAAACAGACAAGAGCTGCCTCTGCTGTGAGGCCCAGAGCCTGGATCCTAGGGGGTACTCATTCGTTTATTCATTCATTTGACAAATGTGAGTCAGGAATTAGGAACATGCCAAGCAGACAAAACAGACCCTGTCCGGGTCTTATGGAGCTTGCCATCTAGTTCGGGAGACAAATACACGCACCAAAAACCAAAAAACAACCCTGAGAGACAGTAGGCTGGAAGGCCTGATTTAGAAGGGAGCTGAGGTACACGTCTCTGAGGATGTGATTACCGGGGCTAAGACAAGATTTTTGTCAAGGGTACTGGGCTGGAAACCACACTCCTTTCCACCCTGCTCCCAGGCCCTAGTGGCCTCACCTCAGCTCACTTTTACAATGGTGGAAACCTTCAGTCTCTCCGACCTCAGCTCACTCTAGGGTAGAACCTACTCAAAAGACAGAAGCAGCTGGTCAGCGAGGGAGATAGGAGGGGTCCCCAGCATCTCCGTTCCTGAGTCCCTGAGGTGGCTGCAGTCATAGCGCCAGCCTCTCTGGGCCTAGTCCCAGCCGACTTCACGGTTGTGGAAATCCTCACATGTTGACAACCACCAGCATGCTTATTGTGTGTTGGTTGAGGGCTTATGGTTACCAGAGACAAGAGTCTCTCTCTTCAGGGACTTCCCTGGTGGTCCAGCAGCCAAGACTCTGCGCTCCCAATGCAGGGGGCCCGGGTTCCATCCCTGGTCAGGGAACTAGATCCCACATGCCGCCACTGAAGATCCCACATGCCACAGCTAAGACCCAGCGCAGCCAAATAAATAAGTAAATAAATAAATATTAAAAAAAAAAAGTCCTCATCTCTCAGTATCTCTAAGCCACCTAGAAATGCCTCTGCCGGCAAGTTCTGGGCAAATGTAATTTCAGGCAGAAGGCACATGGAGAGAAGACAGAAACATATTCAGACACCTGCCTCCTCTTCCCCTGCACCCCTTCCCTTGCAGAAGCTAGGGCATCCTGGGTCAGGAGAATTAGCACGAGACTTGGGGGTCACGGACACCACAGCACTTGAAATCCGATCTCAGTTCATGTCCTTGCTTGATGGCTGTGTTACTATGGACAGACTGCTTAACCTCGCTGAGCTTTATCTGTAAACTGAAGCTAATGAGCCCTGCCTTTGATTTTAAAGTACCAGGGTCCACTGCAGATGGAGTTCCTCTGTGCAGCCCCAGACCAAGCCTGTTTTCTGCTCTTGGACGTTCTCCCACATGCACCTTAAACCCACCTTGTCCAAAGCTAAGTATCATTTCTGCCTCAGTTTTTCACCTGCTTCCTCTATGTCTGGGAAGACCCTCACCCACAGTCACCCCAGATGCCTCCCTTTTTCTCACTAGCTGCCTCCAATCACTCTCCAAGAGCTCTCAATCGTAACTGCTAGATGTCTCTGGCAGCCACCACCTCCTTCCCCATTCCACTGAAAACCCTCCTCATTTTTCACCTGGAGCATTGCAGCTATTTCCAAGCGAGGCCCCCCTCCGATCTATGCTCCAAACTGCAACCGAGACAATCTGACCATCGCTGCTTACAGTCCTTCAGTTTCTGCACACCAGCTTGAGGACAAAGCCCAAACTCCCTAATGTGACTCAAGGCCCCTGTGACTTACTCCCGATGACCCCTCTCTTACCACCACCTTGAGAGCACACTTTGCTAGCAAAGTGCCAAGAACGTGTCATGCGTGTCACCTATTTCCTCTGCCTTGAACCCTTCCCCTCCTTCTCTGCCCAGGTTAATTCCTAACCAGCCTTCTAGACTCCACTCAAGCCTCACCTCCTCCACGAAGCACCCCCTGATCTCCCCAGGTTAAGGCAGGGACCCCTCTTCCAGGTTCCCCCAGGACTCACTGCTTCCCACATCAGAGAGCTCGTTGTGCTGTCCTGAATTGTCTGTAGCTCCCACTTAGACTTGTGCCTGGTACATAGTAGATGCTCAATAAATGTTTGCTCAATGAATAAACACAAGAAAGAAAGATCGATTCCATTGAAAGGCAGTGGGAGGAGCACTACGATGGCAGGCAGACTGGCCTCCAGTCCCAGCAGTGCTGGCTTTGCCATCACCTCCCTGTTGACCATGGGCCAGTCACTCGACCTGTGGGCCTTCCCAGTTCCTCTTTCCTTTGGTTTGCTAACCCCTCATCTGGAGGGTCCTGACATCTGTTGCCCTCTACACACTTTGCGCAGGAGCATTCAGGTCCACCACCCCAAAAACAAGAACCATGACAGTGGAGAAATGGTTTGTGCGTGCTGGGTGAGGCAGGATACAGGCGACAGCAGGAAGGATCAACCATCACAAGTCCACATCCGGCCAACTGATGGTGGCAGGAACGGGCACTGTCACGTGCTGATTTTCCTCCTGGCTTTTGATCTTTCTCTCAGTCTGGGACTGGGATGGGGGTTCCTGATTCTCTGCCCTTCCCCACAAACAGACCTCTTCCCCTCCCACCAGGTTGGTTAGCAGGGCCTGGGGTGGGTAGTTGTGGAGGCATCAGTGGAGGGAGCCGGAAGCTCAGCCCATCCCTCCCTGGGGAGTTGGGGAGCAGCTGAGGCCACAGTAGCAGAGAAGCAAGCACGGGCCTCTAAGACAGTGTGCCAGTGGCTCTGGATCTGACCCCCTGAACAAAACCCGGGGCACCCCACTTCCCGTCTCAGCTTCCAGTTTTCCCTGGCTCTACTTATGGGGAGACAGACCGGACAGGCATGGGGCTTGGGGCTGAGCAGAGCCAAGACTGGCCACGGCTTTATTCCTGCACCCACCCCTTCACTCTCCCTCCCTGTACATCAGCAGCTCCCACACACCTAGGCTGGCAACCATGTGGCGGGAACAAAGAAGCAGGCTCAGGAGGTGGCCGCAAAGGACAGGATGGCGGTTTTATATGTGGCAAAATGCTTCTCCTAGGGGAGTACAGACGAACAGACAGACAGATGGGGGCACAGGACACCAGACAGGAAGGGGAAAGCTTGGGCAGTGGTCTCTTCTAACCAGTAAGTGGAAGCTGCACCTCACCCCCGGGTGGGGGTGGGACAACATTGGCACAGGAGGTGGCGAGACAGGCATGAGGCACCCATCCCTGAGGCGGGCAGCCGGGCAGGGCCCAGTCCTCGCTGGCACAATTGGCTCTCTCTGGCCCAGCTGGGTGCTGGTGGGGGTGGGGGACGGGGCTGCTGGGCTACGCAGATGCTAGGCAGAGGGATGATCCAGGGCAGAGGGGGTACCAAGGCCTCTCCTGGGGGGCATGGACATGGGTAAAGGATGGGATCACAAGAGGCAGATACAGAGCAGCAGCAGCAGCAGCTAAGCCCCCCGGGGGGATCCGAGGTCCTGAGGCCCCAGGGGTGACGCTTATCTCTGGGGCACCAACCCACAGGGCCTCTCCCCTGGGGCCTCAGGGTGAAAGTGAAACAGTTTTTTGGTTTCAAGATGAGCTGGACCAGAGTGTTCCATGGGCTCCACACCCAGGTGACAAGGGGATGGGGGGGGCTCAGATGCAGAGGGGCCCCCTCTTCTGATGGTTGCAGGCAAGGGATGTTGTAGGCAAAGCTCATTCCTGGGGTAGGCAAAGCCTTGAGGCGTGGAGGTGGTGGTGGGGGTAGCAGCATCTCAGGTTGCCCCCTCCTCAGGGTTCTAGGTCCTGGACGGGCACAGGGCACTACATCTGATGCCTGCCAGCTTCTACCCAGACCACTCCTGAAGACTGAGATCCCGGTGGGGTTTCCAGTGCTGTAACTTTCACCTCCCAGACAATGCTGCCAGGAAGCTAGGGGGAGGGGTGGGCATGGTGAAGGACCCTGGATCTGGGGCTTGGGGAAGACAGCCCTCATGGGAAAGAGACTGTGCTATACCTCTCCAGGAAAAGCACCCCTACCCTTCCCAAATA